TTTGTTGTAATAGTTGTTCATCGAAGGTTCATAATACGCAGACTTTATAATCGAGCGTTTTTATCAATTTATTGAAATGTTACGTTGTGCCCTGCAAATTATGCTAAATTTATAAAATGATCCTTGATGTGATTTTCATTTCATATGACAGAAATTGTTGTCTTTGTTGTTCTTGTTATTCTGCTAAGTCTGATTTTCRATCAGTGTCATTTTGAATATTGTTTATTTTTTTATATAGAGTTGTACAAAAAAATTTGGTATTTGTTGTTGGTTTAACACAGAGACTAGCAGATTCAGAGGTAAAAATAATAACCCATTAATAATTTATTAATCTATTAATCTATTATTAACAATCGATGACTTACACCTAATAGTTGTGAAAATGTAATGTCATAAAAAATAAAAAAATAAAAGATTTTGCCGTCAAAATCACTCAGTTATACAGACATCAAAACATTTTTCCATCCGAAGTAAATAAGTCAAACAAACACTTTTCCCTCTACAACAAACTGTTATGATAACAAGAGGAATTTCCAGAACCAAAATTAGTGACTTCAAATGTTTCCTAATCGTAAATGAGTCAGTGATGACAAAGAAATTAAKGGCACTTTGCATTCTAACCAATATATACCAATATATTTTCAGCTGCTCAAAAGAACAGAGTATTTTGGAAAATTTGGAAAAATTCACAAGATTGTAATCAACAATAGCACAAATTATGCTGGTCCCCAGGTTAGTTAATTGTTGTACAGTTCTTTACAATTTACAAATTAAACAAACCATTTGAGAGTACACAAATTTCTACAAAATAACAAAAAAAAAACATTGCCAAAATAGGAATAGAGATTTCTACTACATGTATGTATTTGCCTAAAATCACAGCAAATCACACCTTTTTTCCTGMACACTGTTCTATAGTCTACATTACAATTTATAAGTCTAGATACTTCRAGTTTTTTGAATGCTTTCTTGTTTTAATATCCTTTCTGACTTTAAGAAATAATTCACAGGTCAGATCTGCCAAAGCTGACAGAAAAAGGGAAATCCAAATAAATTTTGATTCTTCAAACATTGCCTCCGGCTTGAGATTTTTTACGCCATTTTCGTGTTCTCCCAAAATCCTGCATGTTTTTTAAACCAGGAATGCACGAAAATGTGTTGTTTATTGCTTAAATTCTATATCTCTTGCTCATGATTTATAATATAGAGAAGTTTTCAATATAATAATCAATGTATATTTTGTAGTAAATGGCGTAAATGTTATTGCTTCCCAGGGGCCCAGTGCGAGTGCATATATAACATTCAATAAAGAGGAGGTAAAACCAATATGCAACTTATTCTACATGCACGTAGCTGCCAATAACCACTTGTTTCAAACCTGTTTCAGGATGCTCATAAAGCGATACTTGCTGTTAGTAATGCTTACCTGGACGGACGAACTTTAAAGTAAGCTGACAATTTAATATTGTACATGTATATGTACTATAGGATGGCCTACCTACAGCTGAACTAAGAATTTTATGTTTGTTTGTGAATCAGCGACTTCAGAAGATCTGTGTAACGCTAGTAACGGGATATGTGTGTTTCGTTCTTATTAATTATATGTATTAAATTCCTTGTTAGATAGTAGTTATCATTCTTCGTTTTCAARTTACGTCACAGCGGCCATCTTGGAGGAACTTCAAGGATTTCTCATTAGTATCTATTGTTCATTCCTCCAACATGGCCGCCGGTCTTTTATCTTTTAAATCTCATGGGAATGATTGGAAACGATCAGTTGTTGATAAAAATGCATATTTATTGATAAATTATTTGTTTCATGACTCAGGGCTTCACTTGGAACAACAAAATATTGCAGTTATTTTCTTCGGAATATTTCCTGTCCAAAACCAGTAAGTTTACAATATATTTTATGGTATATGCTACCCTATATTTCAAAAGCGTTTTCGGGGAGAGTGGGGAACGGTGAGGTAGTTGAACGGAGGTTGCATGACCGAAAGGGACTATGGTTACGCTGTTTCTCGAAATGTGTTCTTGCATGTGACCACATCTTATCCACAAATAACAGGTAATCCGCTGATAAAGTAAAAGCGTGCGCATTCGTTCTTTTGGATCTTTCTYTCGAGCAATAGTTGGGCGACCTATGGGAAAATTGAGAAAAGTGGACCCTCTTTTAAATCCTAAATCCAGGACAGGCTGACAGTTTTTATGTAGAACACGATGAATGAGATACCGAWTATATTCACATTTCTAGTTGATATTCAACATTGAATAGAATTGGACAGARCGTAAGAGCAATATTTCGGTTTTATTGCAAAACTATCATCAGTCTAATAGTGTACAAAATGCAAATCCTGACCGTTGAGTTCGTCGATTCTAATAGATAGTTTTAGATTCACGTTCACTACAAACGCCAAACGTCAAGCTTTGTCTCAAAATTTCAAACAAACGTAAAAACGCTTCGAAACGAGAGGCCAGGACTGGACTAAAGGGAATGATGAATTAGATTAAGATGTTTTTAATTGTAGGACTGTATGTATCTTCATGACCTTGGTGATGAGGCGGCAAGTTTTACAAAAGAAGAAATGCAGGATGGGTAAGCGATTTAAASGGCGCATGCCAAAAAGCKTGAAACAACTATAATAATATYAAGTTAGGATCAATTCAGTCATCAATTAACCGAGAATTCACCAAGGCATAAACACACGTCAAAGGAATTCAAGGACGCCTTTTAGAGTCATTTTCATCCGTCTGTGAAATAGGAATTGTACCATTAAATACTATTAGCCCCTATTAGCTCCCAATAGTTTAACTTATGACATGCGACAAACCAATTAGGCAAAAACGGTTTTGATTTTGCCTTTTGGTAACCTACTACACCCTAATAGTTACTATTAAACACTGACTAGTAGTAATTGTTTCACAGACGGATGGAAATGACTTGATGTTTATCAGTCATTTTATATAATCAATGCCTCTTTGAATACTCGTTTCGAATTCTCTCAATCAAGCATWAATTTTTATTGTCGTCTTTGTATACAGAGTTTTTGCATTTCAATAGGATTTCTGCTGAATAAAAGAATATATTACATGATTTCGAGGTTAAGGCTGCAAATAAGATCTGAAAACTGGAGTAGTCACAGAGCCTAACATACTTGATAACTAATTTGATTAGGCGCTAAATAATTGAGAACTGTGTCACACTTTTGTGGCGTGTAAATTTAAATATCATGTTTTAGGAATAAGGATAGTTACATTGAAATTATGACAATCTAAGCAATTATTAATAAACGTGTCGCMCGAAAAAAATTCTGGCTTCAACGGGAATCGAACTCGAAAGCCCGAAATGTTTTCCATTTATTAATAATCGCTTAGATTGTTATAATTTCACTGCGAGGATCATGGTTTTATCATATAAAATATCTATTTTTCATTTTTTTCGTATTTATAATTGTTTTGGTTTCAATCTTTTGTTTTCATTTCATTTCGCTTTATTTCTTACCCTTTCATTTCCCATTTGTTTCATTTTGCTTTTGCTGATTTTTACTTTTGAATATGTTATTTCACAGTAAACACCAAGAATACGAACAAGAACTGTTATCAAATTATGCACAAAAAATGTAAGTGTATCATTTTWGTTTTACTGGTCTTTCTACAGGACTGGAAATAACGGCCGCTCAAATCGTTCGTCCAATATTTATATTTGACCGGCAAAATTTGATTTTTGCGTTGAGCAAATTTTTTTTAATATTTCAAAAATTAGAGTTGTAAATGGCCACCCAAAAACATCTGAAAGGTCATGTGAGTATATTTTATGGCCGTCCGTTATTTCCAGCCTTGTGGCATGCAGCATTATAGGAACGTTTTCAAAAATATTGGATTTGTTTCCTGAGCTATTATTTCTTTGTTTCAGGGGTATGAATACAGATAAGGTAAGATTTATTAAACAAAAAGTGTGATTTAATCAATCGATAAATAATATACTATTGAAGACTTTGAAGAGTATGTTTCTARCGCTATAGTTTACATTTAGAATTAGACGACGCAACATTTGCTTACAATCCTCGCATGCGACCTGCGTACATGTAAAGTCCGATTTAGACGGTACAACTTTTGCCTACATGCGTAAGTCATCCTTACAACTTGGCTACAACTGTCGTAGAGATTAAAACTAATTGTTTAATAATCATACGACAGTTGTAACCATGTTGTAAGGATGACTTAAGCAGGTTGCATGCGATAGTTGTAGGCAAAAGCTGCACCGTCTAAATCGGCCTTAAGTCATCCTTATTGCAACATGGCTACAACTGTTGTGGGGCTATTAAGCAATTGTTTTAAATCCCTACGACAGTTGTAGCCATGTTGTAAAGATGACTTAAGCAGGTTGCATGCGATGGTTGTGTGGGCCACGGTTCTGCCGTCTAATTTTGCCTTAATGCTTGTTTAACAGTAGTTTTCTTCCTTGTTTGTTGAATTTCTTTGTACTTATATGTGAAAATTGTTTACTATTTTTCAAAATCTTCGTTTTTCTAGGATTCTAGTGAATTTTGGTCAGAGCAAACAGGTATAATATTCCTCGCAATGTTTAAATGTGTTTAATGATAAAAGATTCCCGTGATGCGTGAACGCTTAAAGAAATATCCTACATGCAGTCGAGATCTTTTGCGATTTTCTCTCATATGCGATTTTGAACCAATCAGAAAGCACGTTTTAACAGCAGATCGTTTTTAATTGAAACAAACGTCCGCAAAGGTTCTCGAATGTAAGTGGGCCTTTAGAGTCAAACACAGAGGTGCCATGTCTTCCCATCATGCTAATCAAGTGACTTAGCTCACAATTATAAAGTTAACTTAGAGTGTTGATTGTTATCATTATTTGATATTTCAGGGTCATCGCTACCATCAGAATCTGGATGGTAAGATAATATTTTGTTTTGAGAATTCCCACTTTAAACATGCTGTAACGTCATTATGCGATAGGGCAATCGATGTTAAGCTGTTTGATGTTTAGTGTAAATTATGTTCCATTTACATGAGTTTAAAGTAGACGATTTATTGTTCTAACTAGGGATTCAAAAGAAGGCGAATCAGAAACAGAATATTCCAGATCTCCTCACTTGCGAGAACCCTCATCTGGATTAGATCTCTACAATCAAAAAGATAACGACGACTACTGGGAAGAAGAAGACTGGGGAGAGCCTGAAGCATCGACAGTACCACCACAGATWACCAAAACAGAACACCAGACARTGATTGACAATACACAGAAAACAACTAATATACCACAGACACACAATAAACCACACAACGTGGGACAGACAGACACATATGAAAATACCACACACCAAGGTATGTTTTTCTCTCTTTGAAAAATGTCAAATTGGTTATTTGAAGTTCGACTCATAAAGGCCCGTTTACACTTGCGATTTTTGCAGTGCGATTATCGCGCGATACTCGCCACTTTGCTATCGCGAAACTAAAATCGTACGTGTTGCGTCGATGGAATATCGGTCTGGTCTTTATAATGAAGTGTCCGTATTAAGCAAGTGGTCGTTCTGCGGGGTTTGACTGTAATCCGTATATTCATGTTTGTTGATAGGTTGGTTAGACGATGTCGCTCCACAAGTACCTCCAACAAATACACTATTAGAGTAAGTATTCCTGACTCGTAACAAGGGAAATTTTCCGCGAAAGAGCGTTACGAAGAGTCGCCGAAGCCGTGTCTTTTACCATCGTTTGTYCGGGTGCGACGCAGGCTACCGAAGCCGACGCTGAGAGAGGCTAGAGAGAYTCTTCACTTTATCAATATTCATTGAATTTGGTCTTCACGGAAACTTGTTGTAATATTTTTCCACGCGTATACCAGCTTTCTTGCCTAGTTTCATTCAATACACTGCACATTAACTGATCAACAAACGMTTGCCTTGTGTTTCGTGAGAATAGACCTTTTCTGAGATAGCAGTTTGCATTGCATTGTGGTCTAGATTCGGTACAAACATCTTCTGTTCATGCTGCCAAATATGGCGTTGTCTGTACTGAAGCTAGACCATAATGCACCATGATTTTGTATTTCAAAAAATGTCTCTTGAAATCATTCAAGCAAGTTGCGCCTGAGCCTATTAATATTGATGAGGTGAAGATTTTCAGTAGTCTCTTTCGCCTACTTTCACCCTCGTCAACTCGTCGGAATAACGCTCGAGAAATTTCGTCGTCACTCGAGTCCAAACTGTGCGACAGAGAGATTTTTACAGTTTATCCATATACATTTTTTGAAATGGTTGAATAACAAGTAGCTAATGTTTTTTTTGTTCTCTTAAGTTATCAACCTAACCCTGGATTGTTTGAGCCTGGCCCAGCAGACAGTTTCTGTAGTCTGGGGTTATCAAATCTTCATTTGAAAGTTTCATCTGATGATGATTTAGGTAAGTTAACATTAAAGAGCCATGGTCTACCGGCATCCCTTTCGAGATTTTGTTATTGTTTAAAAAGAAAATTACACCGTATGGTTATGTTTGAAAATACATCGCAATATAAGCAGGCATTTAGTCTTTATTATCCCCTTAATGGCCTATGAATAGAGATACTGTAAGACTTCAAAACAGAAAGCTGACCGAGTTCTAAGGCATGGCTTAGTTTTTAATTTTCTTAATACCATTGTGAATATAGCTGCTGGCGACTCTCAATTTAGAAATTACCTTAAATCAATGCATTAAGTTTATTATTTGGTATTCTTGACCGCTGATCTTCCGCGGTGCAAGGGATGTTACAATCGTAAGATTGCGCTATAAATCATAGTGGAGACGACCATTGACTATAAAGATTTCCTTAGTCCAAAGTAAGCTCGTCGTATTGTTAGGAAAGTCTGGCATCTCAATAGCATTTGTAAGTGTAATAGAGTGCAAAACTGCTTGTATTTTATTACTCTTTACAAACGCTAAAAGCGTCGAAAAGTACGAACCAAATWGTGCTATATAGTGTAGATCAGACAATAGAAAACAAAGAAATTCAAATTATTAGTATAATAAATCAGTATCATTTAGCAATATTCAATCACTGAAGTTTTTCACCGTTTTAGTGTTCTGTAGCCCATGATATATTTTTTTCCTGATAGACAGTAACTATACTTCAGTAAGTCAATGGGTTATTTGATTGTCAGGTTTTGATCCTTGGAATGAATCAAGCAAAGGACTAGCAGATTTACTACGAGAAGAGGTCACACAGACACCTAGTACTCATTCCCAACCGAGTGTTTATTCCACGATACCAACAAGRCCKTCATTTGTACCACAATTAACTCAACACTTCCCTACCAACCAAAAAGTAAGTACTCAACACTTCCCTACCAACCAAAAATTAAGTCACTAAACACTTCCCTACCAACCAAAAAGTAAGTTAAAAACAAGACATTTTAATGATAAAGGCACTGCTCACAACTACTTCGAACTGAAGAATCTAGCTAACAACAGCAATAATATCATAAAAAACATGAACAGCAACAACAGTCATAACAACAACACAACAGCAACAACAACAATAGCAGCAATAACAACGACAACAACAACAGCAATAACTTTCAAGACAGCTGTCTCTATACAATTTTCTGGTTAAACGTTTGAGTCAAAGGAATTCATTATTTTTCGCATTTCTTTGTAAAAGTGCTGACCTTGAAATGTTCAAACTGCCTTTCGTTTAACAACAGTTTTGGTGAATATTTTTCGACTCATRAACATAAAGCTTAATTCTTGTTATGTCATTCCATCTGTCTACAAAAGATCTATCCCACATTCAAGGGAGACTCTGAATGATAAGGATTGGGAGTAGTTGSTCATGCGCAGAAGCAGTTAGACAGAGCTAGTCTGTAATGAAGTTTCTATTTACACTCTGTTTTGCTCTATCATTTGCACAGGACGATTTTAAAAGCTGGCAAGAGGGATTTCGAGCTTTATTACCGAATATAAACATCAATTTTGCTGGTAGGTAGTCAGATYAAAGTTTCATGTCCAAGGGTTATTATCAGGAGCGTGTTCAGGGGTTTCAGCCGTGTTCGTTTCGCGGTTTAAAGGCTATAAGTGAGAAGTATAATAATCCAGTTTCGAATTCTCCAATGCTCTGTGTCAGCCTCATTTGTGCGCAAAATATTCCTAATTGTGAGAATAAAAGTGTGAGATTTCAAATCAATTCTATTGTCTTTCTTTTCAACTTCCATGCGTTTTCTCGGGCTATCAATAAGACAAAAGAATATGTTACTTGGTTTTGAGGCTAACACAGAGCAAACCAGAACTCGAAATCGGAGTATTGCCYTATGGCATAATGACGTCATTGTTTGCATTGTGGATAGATGCTCAGAAAGACACGAAATTTCGACCTATTAACATTCTGTCCGAAGGTAGAGCTGTAGTGGATTGAGTTYTGACATATACCATGTATCAAAGATTGCTCATCTACATTTTATTTGATATGCAGTCACACTGATCCCCTCTGGCGACCATAATCCTTAGCGTTAAAATAATAGAATGTTTTGATGTGACGTAATTATGCGATAGAGTCAATTTCGTATGAGTGGGAAACGTACGGTAGAAACTACCGCACGGTTACCGGACGTTTACCGGACCTGGCCTGCACAATTTTGGTGAATCAATGGAGCACTAGAATTTGGTTACAGTACGATTACGGTTACTGTACAGTACTGTTCGTTTCCCACTCATACGAAATCCGCTCTAGGGCAATTGATATCAATAGTGGGAACGTGAAAAAGGGTCCCCGGGCCTSAAAATGCTAATCATTGATTGGTTGAATAGGCTGGCCTACTACACCGGAAGGACAGCATCAAACACCGACAGAATGGAGTCCCGCTTCACAAACAACAATACCAACTGTCAATCATAATCAAGGTATGATGTCATCATTATTAG